AAGGAGCAATGTTCAAATGGATGGAACATGGATCCATAAAACTTTTATTATTAGTTATTTAAGTTACTTATTGTTAGTGTACTGTATGAACACTACAAACATCATTCCATCTCAGTTTGTATGTGCTTACTACTAAAAACTATTGTCCTAAGAACTGTTACAGGATGTGTATTTTGAAAATTATGTAGTTTTTTATTATATCATAACGTAGTACTTTTTAATGCATGTAACTGTAACATTAAGCTGTCTGTGGCTCTTTTTTCTTCTGTAACTACGTACATTTCCCCTCTGTGGGACTAGGAAAGGTATTCTGATTCTGATCAAATATGTTTGATTGAATTAACTATACCATACACAAGTAAAGGTTTAAATAGAGGTTTTATTATTGTAGTAATAGTGGTTTATTTACACAGTTTAAGTACTTTAACAATACTGTCAAAGACTCCACTGTCCCTATAACATGCAATGTATCTTGCCTTCTCCTTACAGTATGCTGTGCTTTGTTGGATCAGCTGACCTGACACAACCTGCTCTGTCAGTGTGAAGTCTCCCTCTCGTGGCCAATTTGCTGCTCTACACCTTTTGCCTACCTTTTCTAAAACTGACAGCAAAGAGCTAATGCTTTGAAAGACCAACCTTTTCTCTTTTTTTAAACGTTTCTACTGACCATACCACCAATAAAACTACTGTTCTAGTCGTTTTTAACTTGTTAAGCCCCGAGCTTGTTTTTCAGGCCTCAGGCTCGAAAATGACATGCCCAGAACAAATGACTATAACTTCACTTCTAAAAGGGGTAAATTAATAATCTTTTTTCTCAAAGCAATGATATACCTGTGAGTTATATGTAGTAAAGTCAGAATCAATATAGATCTTTTTATTTTAAAGTAAATTCAGATTGAACATGGTAAAAAAATGTAAATTATAGTTACCGTCCAAATACTATAGTGAAAGCCACCCTTGAATGATGGGATATTAGCCAAAAACCTTTTAGGAATCCAAACTATAGCATATAATAAGTACCCTGTATCAAGATTGATGCAAAACAAGGGACATTTTACCTTTTTTAGAGGTTTAGGAACAAAACCCCACCTCTGGGGTCATTTGGGTGGATTTGTCGTATCTCTGGAGCTCATTGGTCGATTTTGATGATTGACACCACTTTTTAACCGTTAGAGCCAATCGAATCGAGGGGGGGTTTCCTAAATCCACCTAAACATTACCATTGAGGAGTGAGAATGATGCGCACGCAGTTTGCCCAAAACCGGAAGCTCTCATACACTATATAAAAAATAGGTTTATTGCCATAAATAGGATGATGGATTATCAGTAATCATTTCAAAGTGACACTGAGACATTGGATTAACCTTCAACAGCGTTTATATGCGTTTTAATGCCCTTGAGCACAACTTTTAGCACAGTGATGATACTTATACCCAGGGGTGCACATAACTGGTACGCAGGTATGCATGCGCGGCAACAATCTGAAATGCGTACCATCACTTGTGTCACAAAGCGTATTTGCGTACTGACGTACTTGTGAAGCTTTTCCAGAAGCTGGTTAGATCACCTGACAACAGTCAGTCTCCGTGTGCTGTTAACGCCGGTCTGTACAACGGAATTGTGCCTAATCTACGCCAACCGGCTGCGGAGGAAGACTCCCCCCCCCTTCACTGGAGAACTGCGCTAAAACAGGTGATCACAACGTTCACGCTCTGTGGTCACGAAGTACTCCACTAGCCCCCGTCCCGTCGACTTTCCTGAAGTACTCCACTAGCAACCCCCCCCATTGACGTTCGCGATAATGAGGGCTTCCTCAAATAATTTTGAGTAGAGCCAGAAGTTGGAGTACCAAACACTGACTCCAGGTACTCATCTGAGTACCTCTCTGATAAAGTTATTTGCACCCCTGCTTATACCAATGGAATCTGTGGAATCTCAGCTTTCATATGATATATAGTTTGTGCAGATTGCATGAAGTATACAATATCGCTACCGTACTCTTTCGCTTAGTGCTAATTCAGAGGCTTGGTGTTACCCTTGTGTTTTGTTTAGCCAAAATGGTTCATATCATCAGTTAGCTGAGTTTCTTCCCGTTAAGTGGAATTAATAGGTTGTTAAATGTTAAGAAGCCCTGAGACACAGTTTTGTGAATATTGTTCTGTTTAGCCCCGCCGGCGGGGGCAATCGGGCTTAACAGGTTTTTAATACAACAAGAAATCAAATGAGCAGTAGGTAAGTATGGTTTTGTAGTATTCTAAAATGTCTGACTTTAAAACAGTGTTTTATTAATTTTTGTTCTTACAGCAAACAAAGACAAATCTACATAATGCATACACAGGCACTGCCATACTGGGAACTCCTGCCAACAGAAAGATGATCACGTATATCCAAGAAGGGTAGGGTACTGAAGCCAGAGATGGGAACTTCTCCTGTTAACCACAATACAATATGATTTAGCCCATCTGGTATGCAATGAATATCCAAAGTATGTAAGTATGATTGACCAAAGTCAGTTTGATTATGATATACTGTATCATTGAGAAACAACATTTACTTGAAGATATTGAGCATGCGACATGGTGGCTGATCACAGAACTTGTCTACTTACAGAGTTGGGATCCCAAACTGAGTATGTGAGCGCTTCTTGGACTTGTGTCACCAGGTAGAAAACTAAAATAACCAGCACAATTAGAGGACTGGTGAACCTCCATGAAATCTGCCAAAAGATAGAGGGCTTGTATCCAACCATGAACTCAAAGTCCTCATTGAACCTGCCACATAAGAGGGTTTTAGTTAGTTTTGAAATGAGTCATGAAATCAAGCCTGTATTATTGGATTTCGTTTACCCACCTCCATCCAATTCAGTTTAATAACTGGCACAGCATAATGCATCATGGTTATTTTCCAGATGATTAACCAAACATCAATAAATGATATGTGCTAGAATATGTTGAATCACTGACCTATCAATGCCGTAGATGTATACAACAGCTATCATCTCAAACAATCCAATGGTCAGAAGTGGAACAGATCCAGCAAAGTTGTCAAAGAGAGTTACCCAATAAAGCCCTGAATTCTGGGCAAACAGGAGACAGATGATGAAGGCTATGGCACATGTTAAACCTGAAACAAACATACACAAGCTTGTGTTAAAACATAAACCAGGGACGAATACCAAAAGTGTTTTATTGAAGATGGAAAAACAAATCTTTGAAACCAAGTTACCTGTCAGTACTTCATGGGGCCAATTTTTAGGGAATACATTCAAGTCTTTCAATGGGACCACCACTCCTTCAATGTTGCCAAACAGGGTCGAGAGGCCTAAGCTGAAAAGCATGACGAAAAGGAGTACGGACCAGATTTGAGAACCAGGCATCTTGGTTATCGCTTCTGTGAACACGATGAAGGCCAGACCTGTTCCCTCCACTCCCTGCACAAACACAAGGAAATCATAATGCAGGTAGG